CTATACTTTGACTGAGATCTCAATATTTCAATAATACCATGTTTGGTGCTAAATACGAGCGGAGCAAAAAACTTTCAATTGTGCCGTAAAATTAAGAGTCAAGGCTGTTCTTTCACACTATTTTCAAGCTTTTTTTCTAGATTTTAAAGCAGTACGAGCTATACTTTGACTGAGATCTCAATATTTCAATAATACCATGTTTGGTGCTAAATTCGAGCGGAGCAAAAAACTTTCAATTGTGCCGTAAAATTAAGTGTTCAGGCTGCTCTTTCATTTAATTTTAAAGCTTTTTTTCTAGAGATTAATGTGGTACAAGCTACAATTTTGATAATTTCTCAGTTAAAAAAAAGCACTGATTATCAAATTATAAGAGCGGAGCAAAAAACTCAGCAGTGGTGCCGTTAAATTAATTGTTAAGGCTGCTCTACCAAATTATTTTAAAGCTTCTTTTCTAGATTTAAAAGATTTTGTGCAATGATTTTAGATTATTTGTTTCAATCTTTATTAAACTTAATAAATTGAAATCATCAAACTTGTGATTAGCATAGAGATATACGGTCAAAACTGCAAAATTTTATCCTCTTGGATCGTCTGTTTTCTAATGAACACCTTTTGTTGGCTAGATTTCGTTGAAAAGAGGCCTTTGGTCGCTGAACATATGTGTCTAGGGGTGTGTGTGAGTTTGCCACTCGTATTGCGGTGGTAAAGGGCGGACCTCCATATCCCATTCAGTCGGCACTAGGCAGTTGTAAAATGGGTCTTTGCGCCAGCCAGCGCCGCTATAATACAAAAGAGGAATATAAATTTCGTTAACTCCTGGCCTGGATGGCCCCTGGATCTTGAGCTCTTGCGCTCCCTCGCCCCGAAATAAATTTGGTCCCAATAAAAACACACACAGAGCCGGCCAGCAGGATGCAATCGTGCTTGCTCATGAAGGCGTTGAATTCCACTGCTTTTCTTTTCTCTCTCTTCCTCCCTCTCATTGCGCGCTTTTTCCACTATCAGCGGCCAAGGGCGGCTGTTGGGTGCTTGCCATTTGTCTCTTTGAGAGTTTTTGTCCCTAAATTATTCTTTTCATATCGCATCTCGCTCGCCATTCGGACCTCTTTGCTCGACCCTCTTGCAAAGTGAGCGCCACACTTTCCTGGCAGCTTTAAATTTATTAATTTTTTATCTGTGTTTGACTCTGCGTATCCAAACGAAAGACCCACAGATCCTTACAATGAAAGTTGCAGCTAGAAAATATGGTGCGTAAAATGTATAAAATGAGATTAACTATTTTGGAATCCTCCTTCATGAATTTTTTAATTGATGATTATTTATCAACAATCACAATTTTTACATTCGTCATTAACAAAAAACAATCGTCTAAAAAAAATATCCGCTAAAAATGACATCACCACTAATGGTTTGTTTTATTTTAAGATTTAATCAGAAGCACAAGGGCATTTATTATTATTAAACAAAATCAAATAATAGTTTATGATATTATTATTTTTATTTTCACGAACCAAAGTAATTTTAAATAATTAAAATGGGAAGAAAAATCATTGTTAAAAACGATTTTTACTTGCATTACTGGAATCATGTGAGAGAAACCAAAATCAAACTCTTTAATCAAAATTTGAATTTTTGCAACTAAAAATAAATTCTCTTTTAGACAAAATACATAAAATTTACTATTATAATGGTTTTCTAAAATTTATATCTATGACAACGAATGCGAATTTTCGTTCATGATCCATCCCAATTAAAAATTAAATTTGATTTGCATATATTTCTCTTTATTTTCGTATTTTGAACAATATTCTGAGTTTAGTATTTTATTAAATTAAAAGCAAACAGTTAAGTAATTTATAGCAATGATTAGAACACGGTAGTTTTTTGTTCCTAGCTTCAAGGAACATTTATAGCAGGGTTTATATATTAAGTTAGACCTTCAGTTTTATCATCCACCGAAATGGCCTCGTAAATTAAACCCTCTCCGCGTCGAATGCTCATTGCGAGTGAAACAATTAGTATCAGCCGGGCAGAGATTAACTTTTACGCGCTGCCTTAATTGTCTCGCGCGAGCTGCGGCATATGATTATGATTTAATCGGTCGGTTGTAAAGCAAGCAATTAACCGGCTCTTCTCCGACCCGCACACACCCTCTCGTAATATCGGAATGCGTTCGCACGTTTTATACGTCGCCTCGAGGAGGAGCGATTGAAAGGAGTAGTCGTCGTGGCACTTTTATTGTAGTGCCTGCGCCGCACAAGGGCTGGATAGAATTTCAAAGTTGGCCATCCGAGCGAGCGAAGAGTGTCACATCCAAAGGGTTGCGCCGAGTGAAAAAAATTCCGCTGATTCGGGAGAAATAAAAGATGATACAGTCTATGAAGTTTCTGGCCCGCATTACGTAATGGAAGGAGCGAGCGGGTGCTGAGTTTGTGCTGAACTTTTCCCTTTACATTTCTTCCTTTTTTCTATCCGTCTCTTTTATCAATTCGGTGCGCGCCACGCAGGCCAAGGCAAAAAGTTTGCTCCGTGTTTGTTAGAGAGCGTTTTTGCTTTCATTCTTTCGGATCGCAGATCTGACCATTGTGGTGGAATTATCCCCTTCTATTCAGCGGCCGGCCGAATACATCACACAAGGAGCTCGATCCGACCGCCGCACAAAAGGAAAAAGTTACACGGCTGCAATTTAGATTTATTGTTGACCCGAATTCCAAACTGCGTGTCCCGACTGCAACGTATAAAACTGATCAAAGTCAATTACCCAAAGTGGGCTTGGCAAAAGCAAGAAGAGAGAAAAAATGTTTTGCAAATCGCGGCTGGAAATTCGCTTGTGCTAAATAATATCGTTGAGTCTGTCACTAGGGCGGAGAGACGCGCACTGTCGAGCCCTCCGCTTTAATAAAAATCACTTGGCTCGCAGTGTCATCTCGCTGAGTGGTGGTGGGAGAGTGGAAAATCTCCGGCTGACAGCCACCAAATTAAAAAGAAACGCCGTTCTGCGCAAATTAGCCCGAAGTGACATTCAAACAAGGCACTTCTTGAGACACGACAAGGGAAAGAAACAGATCTTGCTAAAAAGAAAATCATCAAAGAAATAAAAATGTCAAATATCTAATATCATTTTCTTTTCATTGGAGCTTTGCAAGAGCAATGAAAATTATGGCGACTGAATAATAAATAGTATAATATTTTAGTATCTGAAATATTTGAAATTAGATATTCAACTTATTAAATACTTGCTGTAAATATCAATTTTTGACAAATTGACATAGTCGGACATATTCCGGCGGGTTCACTTACAATGGTATGAATAATTAAAAATGTAAAAATTCTAAAAATTCCTCTTACATGACATGATTGCCTTGGTGACAAAAAGATTATAATTGTGGTGTTTTGAATCTCCTTTGAACTTAGAATCGGTTTTTCCACGATAGTTCATTAGAGTTGTTTGTTGCTTCAATAAAAGAAATATTCTGCTCTACATGATTTGCTGCGGGATGATTTTTGAAACTATTTTGAGAGGAATTCAGAAAATTTGAGATTTTATTGAAAATTAAAATTAACTTATTTTTGTATCCTTATTTTCACATTATTCTGATATAATGGCTTATTTATAATCGAAGGATATAGGCAAATTTTTTATATCTATCTGCTATTTACTATAAATCTCTATACATGAACGAAATTTTCAATTTCCTGCCATAAAGACTCGGGTGACGCTTGGCTCACGTCAAGCGCAAATAACGTGTTGGCCCGAGCAAGCAAGCGTTTGCTGATGGCGCCGATACGTGCCAGCTCGTCACGCGCGATAACCCCTGCCACTTAATATCGCGATCAATTTTCATTTAATTAACATGGCAGCCGGTTTTTGTGCGTCCGAGTGCCTGCGACTGAGAAAAGAGGCTGCAGCGAAAATTCGTTCGTTCCCCGTCTCCGCCTCGTGTATATTTAATAGATCTGGAGACTTGTATTGGTTTTACAATGCTCGCTGCGCCGTCGGCTGGCGTATAATATGCAAAATTAAATCACTCGGCTGCTGCGTGTGTACACTTGGCTGGCAGCAGGCGGAGCAGAGAAAAGCCAAGGAAAACGCCTGCCGCACGTCACTCTCGCTCTCTTCAGCTGAACAATCTCTCTTCTTTTATTTATTTGTGGCAGAGCGCGAGAGAGAGAAACACACGGAATATTCATGAGCGGGCGAAGCGAACAAAAAAAGTAAAAGCGATCGGATCGCGATTTTTCCAGATGCTAACGTCTGAAGTTCAACAAAAGCTGAACACGATCATAAAAACATGCATGATGTTAACATTAAGAAAAAAAAACTTAGCAAACTTAAATTAGTTAAAATTAAACAGTTTAGTCCTTAGATATTTTTCTTTTTTTCTTTTCAGTTTGTAAAAATATTTCAGGGTTAAAATAGTAAAACAAAGAAGGGATCCAAAAGAAGGGAGATTGAAAATCTAAAATCTGCTGTGAAAAAAAAAACAGTAAAATTGAAAAATCAAAAACAATTTTGTAGCAAATGTGAATGTACATTGAAAACTTCATTTTTTCATTTTTATTTGAGAAATACAAAGTTTGCTCCATTTTTCTGGTATAGTGTTAAATATTTCCCCCTGCTATCGGCGTTGTTGTGCTCGTTCTTAAAGTGATTAATTGCCAGCCAATATTTCATGCTCTTTAAGTCATTTATCTCGACACCATGTCATAATTCATTCATGAGAGTTGAGCTTCCACTCTATACTTCTAGCTATTAATTCTCGCCGGCTGATCTTATCTCCGGGGATTCGAACAAAGTTCGCTTCGAACTTTTTGATTACGCAACAATTCTCTCCATCATTTTGAATATAATATATATTCGGGAAGAGAATGGATTTGATGTAAACGCCATGAATGCAAAGAGGGTGGGATTATGTGCGTGGGCCTTGTTATCTCTTTTTGTACCACGGCTTGACCAGATCAGCAGGCGGTTTGACTGCATTGCATTGTGCTGTTGACAGGACTCGGAGGGTGACACGCCCCTGCACGATGCCATCTCCAAGAAGCGAGATGACATGTTGACGCTGCTGCTGGACCACAATGCCGACATCATGTTGACAAACAACAACGGATTCAACGCCCTGCACAACGCCGCCCTCCGCGGAAACCCAAGGTGAGTACAAAACTCTTTTTTTTTACCACCTCCATTTATTTTCCGGTCGAAAAAATAGAGACACGTCCGAGCGCTAAATGACTCCAAAAGAGTCGTTTCTCCGTTTTTCTCCGCTTGAGGGAGAAGCTTGTTAAGCCCTCGCCGGCAAATTGTTATTCTTCTTTGTTGGTCACTGTCGATTTGACGTTTTTTCCTCTCTCTCCACCGCTCTCGGCCGACCAATTGTGCTTCATCACTAGGCCCCGTTTGGAAGGAAAGAGCGCTTGACGGCTCGTGCCGCAGAGTGCAGAGACAATTGCCGAATCGCTGTCGCTGCTTGCGGTTGATTTGGGCAAAAAAGTGGAGGAGAGAGAGAAACGTAGAGGTTGCCAAACGACAGACCGCCTGTCACGACTGCAGATTATTTAATAGTTTAGAACGCCAGACGTGAGATCCGAATCGATCCGATAAAAAAAAGAAGAAAAAACCCGGACCATTTCTGCGTTAAAACAAATTTTATTTAACGTTAAAAATTTATCATTAACGAATTCAATGAGAATTTAAACACAATTTTTTAAATTAATTAGATTATTACTCATTTTATTGAATTTATGTGGGACGATAATTCAAGCGAAAGATTTCCGTGTTGTATAAATTGGGTATGCAACCCGCTGCTCGTAGAGGTTGATCAAGTTGCATAACTCTGCCTGCTGTGGATCTCTTGGCATTCCGAACATGTATATTTGCAGCTCTATTATCCGTTTACTATGAGGAATTGCATCGGCCACAAACACGCGAGCTCCCGCAAGACTTCTTCGTCACACACAATTTTGCACGTTTGCCAAACGTGTGCGTCTAATTGCGCCGAATAACCGCTGCTGTAATTAGCCTCGTCGCGCTGATCAGTCGTCAATATTGAATGGCGCCACCGCGTACTTTGTCGCACAACCAGCCTCAATGGCAGCATTAAAAACTCAACCGACCAATCAATTATGGTTAGCCAATTAATGGCGTGTGTCGGAAATGTGGGGGAATTGAACTGCCTCCTAATTGATTGCGACTTGTCGGGTTTAAAAAAAATGGCTTTAATAAAAACGGGATCCATCGTTGACTGATAATATGATGTCAACGTCCCGGGGGAAAGCGTGAATTTATTTAATATACATTTTTTTAAAAATTTATTTTCCTTCCTTGTTATGCGAAGGGAACAACTATTTAATTGATACTCAAATCTAGAGGTAAAAATGGAAAAGTTGTGGAATTTTATTATGAATGATTTCTTGTATTGTACACCAAAGGTGTGCTACTATGCAGATTATAATAGATAAATACATTTATATAAAGAAGAATAAAAAAGACATTTAATCTTTAATTCAAATAAAATAATGAATTCTACTATTTTAAAAATTCATTCCAATGAGAAATGGAAAAAATATTACTTTATACGATTCAAAAAATAACGTGAAAAGAAAAAATTGTACTCTTTTACCGAATGTCAAAGTTTTGCCAAAAGTTACTCAGCTGAACACGATTATTCTCTCAAGGGCCGTGTAATTCAATTGCAGCTGAGATGAAAAATAAAACGCTCATGAGACTCGAATCAAACTTTCATCGGCGCGTGAAAGATTAAAAGAAGCTCGTAAAGTTCGCCGGCCGGCCGGACCGGCGTGCACTCTCAGCCGACCTCCCTTTAAACTTTCATCCCGCCGCAGTAATAAAGATTTATTCGGGCAAATTTGCCCACCCCTCTTAGCCTCCCGGCGGCGGCCTTCGGAGCTCGAGATTGAAATTCCGAAGCGGCTCATCATTTTCGCGTGCACACGCAAAGTCGAGTTGCATCGACTTCGGACCGACCGGAACACGTGGGTCCTTTTTCGGTCCCATCTGCCTCGAACCAACGAACGAACGGCGCATAATGCATGCAAATGTTACTAGGGACCTATTCACTTTGTGCGAGTGCAGCACGTGATGCCATTGTGCACGTCAGCGGCCGCAGCGCGACAAATTTGCGTGCGTGTGGGATCGGAAAATGGGGTTAGGGAGTTTCTCGCTGCTTTCCAGGGAACGCGATGGGCGCGGAAATTTTGATGAGCTCCATGCATTTCCAAGCAGGCGTTGACAACCGAGCGAAATGGAATAAGAAAAGGGCCCTCGCGGTGTGGAACCAAGCATGAGGGGAAAATAGAAAGAAAAAAAAACATACCAGGAAAAGGTACGCATGCACATGATTTTATTTCCTCACCCGAAAAAGAAGAAATAGAATCCTACGGAAATTTCGGCTCTTGTTGCTCTCGAAACTTGCAAAATTCAGCAAATAAATTTATGCCGAGCTGTGGTGGCACCGGTGTCGGTTTAATTAAATTTCCTTATGAGAGAGAGAGTGAGCCAGCCGGCCGCCCACTGCACGAATGTCAAAGCGGAAAGTTGCAAAAGCCCAGCGGAGCGAGCCGCCGGCAAAGCCCAACTGATAGGGAAATGAGACACTGACGCCGTGGAAAAATTGCGTAAAAATAAAAATAAAAATACACGGGCGTGGCATTTAAAAACAAACCAGGAGTCTGCGTTGGTGGAGATTTGATTATTCTATCAATTTGCATAGAAAGGGAATTTTAGAGAATTTTCCCTGCTAAAAGTGTTATTTATTCATGTGAAACTTCAAATGTTCTTTTGAATTTTAAATATTTAGGAAAAAAATATTCAATAAGGACTTAATTATATATTTTCTTTTATATTTTTAGCACAATAATCTAATTTAATCGAATTAGTTTTTATTCTGAAATTTTTATCGCATTATCAAAGTTTCCTTCCTTTTCAGTCGGAAGCATCAACCACAAGTTTTTTTCTTTAAGAGTTCTTCTCAGAAGTTCTTGGAAATCCGAGATAAATTTAGAATGCGTGCTGCGTAAATCCGCGACGCATTAAAGTCGCATCGTTTGCCTGATGTGCGAAAGTACAATAAATTAGAACCAGTGCGAGCGAGAGAGAGTTTTGTAAAAAAGTTGCTGCGCCGCTTGTGAGGGGGCGAGGAGGAAAGAAAGAAAGAGAGAAAGAAGTTGGAGTTGGGCAAGCACGGAAGGAAAGAAGTAGGAAAAAGCAAAGGGGATTAGCCTCATTGGCAATTGAGCGGGCCGACGGCATCAGCGGATAACTTTTGACGTTAAATCAATTTACCTTCTCCGCACACAAACTGCAGATGTTGCTTCCGCGCTTGGTCCAAGGCAAAAGAAAAGCCCTCTTTGATTTTTTGCCCCTAGGAATTTTATCCCGAAAGGAATTCTCCGGCAGTGCTCAATTATTAACAGGACCGTCGGCATTAAAATTCTAGCCCTCCCCACAGAACTCCCTTTTGTGCGGCACCGAGCGACTCATAGATAACAATTCCGCTTATCGCGATTTCCATCGGCTCCAGAGAAATCATGCATTATTGTTATCGCAGAATTCACAGTCGGTTGCTTCCCTGCAAATGTTTTCCATCCCAAAGGCGTGGGCGACGATATAATTGGGTGCTTATTTTCGCCAGTTTTGTTTGCATTTATTTATTTTCATCCGGTCTTGCTTGGCGTGCCAGATTTTTCATCTTGCGCCTCGTTATCGTCCGCTCATGAATATGCATGTGTTTCCGTTGGGAGTTTTTATTTTTGCCGACGAGCTCGACTCTGCGCAAATGTAATTAATGCGTGACAAGTCGCTGAGATCTGATAAAAATTTTACACCGTGTTCGCGCGCGGCACGATTTGATTGAGATAAATGGTCGCCTGAGACCTGCTGGGAGCACGTTGGTTAAATTTCCAACAACCCTTCATGAATGAGCTGCGTTTGCATTAATTTCAATTCGAGTAAAGACCTTGAAAAGTGGCAAAGACGAGTTGAACTTCAGTTTTTTTTTTAATTTTTTTTTATGATTGGAAAAACAATGAAAATGAATCATTGTTCTTTTCAATTTAATTTTGCTTCGATAAATGACAACTTTTGCATAAAATTGTTTAAAAAAATGTCATATTCCAGAAATTTTAGACCGATTCTTTTATATGTAAAAAATTTTTATACAAAATTCAAGCTGAATTTTATTTAATTATTGTTGACAAAAGTAAAGTTTGTAAAATCAATAAAAAAGTTTCCAATTCATGTAGAAGTTGAAGAAAATTATGCTCATAAGATTTAATTAAACAATTATTTATGTTAAAAAATATCCCTGAAACTATGAAGTTTTCAAAGCATGAAATAAAAAAGATTTTATTAATATTAGTTGAAATAATCAATTCGAATCAAATTGAGCAACAATTTGATCCCCATACACTGGACATAAAAATGTAAATTGACTTCACTTGCAGTACAATTATTTATCTATGAACGAGATCCAAATTGGGTGAATCGAAACGTCAAAGCCACAAGGAATTCAGCCCGTTCGGATGTGGGTCCGTCGAAGATAAAAGCAGCTGTTCGGGGCGGCTGCAGCAGCACATGATACGGATCTCATTGTTCCAAGAAGTCAATTAGCCAAATATTGCGTATTCATGCCGTTCGCTCTCACGTATTGTTTGCCGACGCATGTGGCAGAGGCTCGCTCGTCTCATCAGCGACTGGCAAATGAATTTGCTGCCAGGTAATGCAATGTATCTACTCCGCCGTGATTAGAAATGCAAATTCGCGGCGCGCGCGTGGAATCTCGAGCCACCCATCCATCTTCCCACCCGCGCGCAATTCGGAATCGCTGCTAATTTATTTAGATTGAAATTCACACCTCACGGAATTCGTTTGGCTGAACCGGCTCCACCGAGACGCTTATTAAACATTTTAATAATTACTGCACACAATCTCTCTCACTCGCTCCGGGGCTCCGAGTTTTGTTGCGCTGATTTTGTGTGTTCTGCAATTTCACAAGTTCTCGCACCGCCTGCCGTCTAAACCGCGGCCACAAATCTCTGAACGTGATCTGCTCCACAGATGCGTCTAGATTAATTTTAGATTTTAGTCCATGTGACTACAATTGAATAAATTCACTGAAAATGTGTTAAAAATTA